GCAGCACGAATGACCTCCGCTGCTGCTCGCCGCTTGTGGCCGCGAGGGGCATGGGGCTCGTTCCGGCTATTTCCGTGACAGCCGAGCCCGCTGTTTACCATGATTCCGTCGGGGCTACGGTAGGTTCGTGTCGTGTCGACCGGCGGCGACCCCGCCAGCGGCGTTCAACCTTGAACGCCGCGGGCGACCCAGAATCGTTCGATGTGGAACGATTTGGACGTTTCGGAAACGGCCGATCGTTCAAGGTTGAACGATCCCCGCGGTGTCAGAAACCAACGCCGGGGTCGACACGACGCGAACCTGCCGTACATGCTTTGACGCATCGCCGCCTTGGATTGACCACGTGTCCGTCACGGAACCCACGGCCGTCGACGCTCGGAGCAGTCATCACGTGCGAGTTGCGGACCACGCCATGGCAGCTACTGCGGCTACCTACGCCAGCACCGCCAACAGCAACACCCCAAGCTTACATGGCAGTGCGCTGATGACGAGGCGTTTGTCCAGCACCTGGAGGCATGTCTGTGCAACGAGGCCGACACCGTCGGCCGGTTGAAGGAAGTAGTCCTGAAGGCAAGGCAGCTCTGCCGGACCACGAAATCCTCGAAGAGGCGGCGAGTTGACAGAGAGCCTCTGGATCTGGAAGAACTCCGGCGTCGTCACCGCACTTTTCTCGACGACCGCCTCAGAGCAGAGATTGGGCAGCTCATTTGACCTAGGCGGCGCCAGTTCTTGCGGGACGAGGCTGAACGTCGTGATATTTGGAAGGCCAAGCAAGGAAAGAACGCAGCGACCAGACGCAAGAAGACCCACAAAATCAACGTGATGACAATCGACGGCGTGAAGACCGCTGATCAACTATGGAAGACCGCTGATCAACTATGGGCGACAGCACTTGCGCAGGAGCTGGAACATCGATGGTCTGGAATGGATGCCATTGGTACGGCTGCGTTGGATAGCTTATGCATTGCGCACGGGGGAGGCTTCGTTTCTGACGGCCATGCGTTCTCTGAGGGCCTACTTGCGTGCAAGCGGAGGGCGGTGTTGGACGACCAGGGCCTCTGTCTGAAACCGTTCGTCATATGCCACGTCGCATGACACATTCTCAAGGAGCACTTGGAGGACATCATCAACGGACCCAGTGATTGGCAGCATCTTTCAGTGCATGCTCGCACTGAGGGAGAGGAGAGGGCCTCCATCGCCCCTAGCCGCATTCGGGCACTCGTACCTCAGGGGGTCATGCTTGCAGTAGCTCAGAGGCCTTGCTTCAGCGCATGGGGTGCAGATAAAAGGCTTTGACGCAGTAGTCCTGGGCACCGGCAAGGGCCAGCAACCAATGGATGCAACGTTTCGTGTATCGATGGTGACCGAGGAGGGTATGGACAGGCGAGGGGCAGCAGCAGTGGCACAGGGTGACTTTGCGTGTTGCCACGACACTTGGAGCAGGCGAGATTTTCAACTTGATGCTAATTCTTTCCTGTTTATCGCCATCCGGTCGGACAACGTTTTCACATTCGGAGACTCAGTGTAGGAAGCTGCGTCCATCATGGCGAACCTCGAAGAGTCCCTGGCCATGGAGGGCCTCTTCCGCATCAAGCCAGACAGCCAAGAGATCGTCACGTCATCTCCAGGCACATTCGATCCGCACATGTGGCGCATGCGGGACGCGGACTGGCGACACGCACCCGACATGAACGCTTTGGGGATGGTGGTGTCCTGCAACGGCGCAGCTTCTCGGTGTTCGAACATCCACGAAACAGTCCAGTTGGAGGTTTTTTTTGGCCAGCTGGAGGGTTCTTCTTATACTTCTAAATCATTCTTATATTTCTAAATCATCTTCAGCCAATGCCGCTTGAAATGGAGTGATCTCATAATTCGTTCGCATGTAAGTTGGGCACAGCACGTTCTGCGCCACCCAGAGAGCCTGAGCGATATGATTTCGCGCGTCCAGAACGACGAGTGGCTGCAAGAGCGACGCGCTATGCATTTGTCCAGTGACTATTCCGTCTTCGCGGGCAGGACAGGCACTCGAGCCCAAGCAGGCCGGCCCGTCCGTTGGGATCGCCCGTGGCGTGCCGAAGTCCGAGCGAATTTTGTCCGGGACCCAGAGATCGTCCACCCAGATGCCATGCGTGCGCGGAGTATAATCTCTCAGAGATGATAGCTCCTTTTGCTGATCGGTGCAGGAACCCTGGCTGATGTAACGCTTCAATGAATGCATGGAAGAGGCAGGGTAGAGAGAGAGAGAGGGAGGGAAAGATGTAAAGAGAAAGTGCGTGTAGGTATGTATATGTGTGTGTGAAAATGTATGTGCACCAAACTATGCAATGATAATTCCGTATTTACAGAGAGATAAACAAAGAGAGAGAGTGTGAGAGAGAGAGAGAGAGAGAGAGAGACAGAGAAAGAGAGAGAGAGATAGCTAGAGAGAGAGAGAGAGAGAGAGAGAGATACCGAGGGACACGCACACATATACATATCTACATATATATATATATAGAGAGAGAGAGAGAGAGAGAGAGAGAGAGAGAGAGAGAGAGACAGAGAGAGAGAGAGAAGGAGAGAGAGAGCGAGAGAGAAAAAAGGGATAGAGAGAGAGACATAATAAGAGAGAGAGAGAGAGATGAACCTATAATCATTATAACATGTAGGCTTGACTTCGACCAGGGCGAAAATGCAATCCATTGACCGGGGCTTCCTCTGGTGTACTGGGCACCTGCCCGCCCGCGCGGGCTGGCGGGCCTCCCAGGACCCACCGACCCTCGAGCCTTCCCAGGGCACGACCCCGCCGCGGCGGCAGTGGACGTGCTCTGGCGGCGCACGCTCTTGCCTCGCAGCGCGGCAGAGGCGATCCGCGCGTGCGCTCTGGCAGCCCTCGGGGGCGGAAAAGAGGGGGGTGATGACTAGGGGAGGGGTGGATATCATGGCGGGGGCCATGATGTCTCCCCAGATATCATGGCGCCTCTTCTTATTTCATTACGTCCCTGGCCCCCCCGCTGGGCCGCGCACATGCCGCCGGTCATGATTTGCACCCCCCCCTCTTGGACACCCCCCTCTTGGCCGCTCCCGAAACCCTGGGGCGCGTGGCATACGAATGGAGCGGCTGCACGAGAGGGAAGGAGGATCGGGAGCCTTGAGACGGGGGTCGATGCAAACGGGGGTCTAGCCAGAGCGCCCGATCCTGCATGATCCTGCAGGGCCAGGGGTCACACTGACCCGGGTCTGGGTGCAGGATCCTGCAGGATCTTGCAGGATCCTTGGCATCGACCTGTGCTTGGGTGCAGGATCTTGTGGGATTTCGCAGGATTCTGCAAGGCCTGACTGACCCGAGTCTGGATTGACCCAGGTCGGCAGATCCTCGAAGGAAGACTTACGTCGGGCCTGTCCCTCTACAGGAGCAATATTCAAAACTAGTCAAGCAATAGTCTGGGGACGATTTTTGGAGTATTTCCCGGACAGGGCTTTAGGCCCAGGGTTCTCTTTTAGAGGTTTCTCCCCGGTTTTGACGGGAAGAGGGCCGGCGGATTTCTTTTGCGATAAAAAACGGGTGGGAAGAGGGCCGGCGAATTAAAATTTCAGGATGTCCCTAGCGAAACGCTTTTTTTTCAGAATTTGTTGAGGATGTCTCGAGCGAGACGCTTGTTTTGTGTTATAGATGGTCCTCTCCTGGGGACCTGAATTCTGAGGATCTCTCAAGTGGATTGCTTGTTTTCACGTGCCCAGGTCTTGAGGATGTCTCGAGCGAGACGCTTGGTTTCACGCCTCCAGGTGGCCCAGACAGATGTCTAGCATGAGGATTTGTTGAGGATGTCTCGAACCAGAGGCTTGTTTTCACGTGTCCAGGTCGCCCAGGCGGATGTCTAGCATGAGCATTTGTTGAGGATGTCTCGAGCGAGACGCTTGTTTGCACGTGTCCAGGTTGCCCAGGCGGATGTCTAGCATGAGGATGTGCTGACAACGTCTTGAGCGAAACGCGTGTTTTCACGTGTCCAGGTCGCCCAGGCACAGCACAGCCCTCGGCACGGTACATCAATATCGATACCCTTAGCATTGCAGCCTGGCATGTTGCCTGGCACGTTCCGCGGAGCGTCCCGTGGCGAGTCCCCCTGGCACGTCGCGCGGTGCACGTCCATTGGCACGTTCCGTAGCGCGTCTCCTTGGCACGTCCCGCGGTGCGTGCCCATGGCACGTCCCCTGGCACGTCGCCTGGCGCGTCCCTTGGGACGTTCCGCGGCGCGTCCTCTTGGCATGTTCCCTCTGTTGATTAGTTCTGGGGCAGCTACCATCTGCTCAGGCAGCTCGAGCTTACGATCCAGATCAGTTCGGTGAGGACTCGCATGCCAGGGAGGACTCGATCCACAACGCTATATAGAGCACAATGGCGGCATGGCACATCGCAGTTCAGCACGGCGTAGCACAGCACAGCCCTCGGCACAGTACATCATCATCGATACATTCAGCATTGCGTGTGCCCGTCGCCCAATCAGGTGTCTTTGAAATGTTGCAATGCCTTACATTTCTAAATTCCTTTCTGGGTTCGTGGGTCGATCATGTTTTTGTTGGGGCTATTTTGGGATATTTTCATATATTAAAAATATGTCACCCAACATCGGCCTGTAGGGGGACACGCCCGACCTAAAGGAAGACGGCGGCTGCACGTGAGAGTGACCCTTCGCCGGAGTGACCCTTGGTGGTGCGGGCTCACGGGCCCCCCCTCCTCCTACAGCACTGGCCTGCGCGCTCCTGGACTCGGGCGGCCTCCGAGAGCCGCGCGTCCCAGAGGCCTTCCTTGCCCAGGGCCGTTCCCTGCGTGCAGCCGGGCAGAGGGCGGCCTCCTCTCAGGAGGGGGAACAAAAAAACAGACAATCAACCGTCGACCCCCCAGAAAGTCTAGGAGAGGGGGGGGCGGGGACAGGACGAGAACCCAGGAGATGTGGGGAATCCTGGGATCTGTGTGTACTCATTTTTGTGTGTCCCTTGGCTCCTTCCTCCCCGGCGCGCAGGAGGCCCTCGAGAGGTGCCAGGCGCTGCTGGGCTAGCGGGCGCCTGCGCGGGCGCGCCGCGCGCCGCGCCGCGGAAACGCACCTGCCTCGCGCGGGC